GCCTTAAGTTGGGCCATTAAAAATATGTCTTGTTCTACTTTAGAAAGAGCTTGAAAAGATTCTCTTAATTCTGCAAATTGTTCTTTAGGAATTTTTGAGGAGCAACCACAACCACAACCTTTTTCTAAAAAACCAATTGCTTTTTGATATTCATTAGAACCATTATATTTACTATTACTTTTCATATACACCTATCCCTATATATATATAATTTTATGTTCACTTTGTAGGTTTTTTTTATTGAATTATTTAATAATTGTTATAATTGACATACTATTTCACTACAAGCAACATACAACATATGAAAAGGATAATTATACAGCATATTTTCAACTCACTACTACATTTATACATCAAGACTTGTTAAAAAGTTTATAATTATAATGTTTACAATGTCCATTTGAAAAAATCAAAAAATCTTTTTATAATCTTATTAGATGTCAAAAAATCTCTATAATAAAACTAATATTGTAAAATGATTAACATAAAAAATTTTAACAACTTAATATTCATATTTTTTTTTTAATATCTCTAGCCAGTGTAAATCATGATCTTTGTGCATTAAAGCATTTCCTTCAGCTCCACTTGCCCATTTAATTTCTGGATTCATTATAGGTGTATAACAATCTTTTTGATGTATTCCAGCCCTGTCAAAGTCTATAAGCTTTACTTGTAACTTTCCATCAACCTTTTCTATCATTATGTTTGAACTACGTAAATCACCAAAAACAATATCACTAGTGTGCAAAGTGTCAATGGTCTCTTGAATATTTTTTAAAACATCATTATATTCCTCTTTTGTAATGTTTGCAGTCTGTAATGTTTCACCATTAATATATTTCATTACAATCATGTACCATCCTCCCAAATTGATGTTGCTGACACAAAAAAGTTTTGGTGCAAGGTTTTTCTCAGCACAAAGATGGTGTGCTTTAGCATTATACCTCTGAGTAAATTTGATAACAATTTCACATCCATTATAAGTTTTTCCCTTGAATAAAAGCTTTGATTTGTCTTCTGTCAACCAATCCTCATAAGTAAATTGTACTGTTACATCATTATCTGTGACATATTGATGAGGATTAAGGTTTCTGGTCCAAACTGTTTTCTCAA